TGCAGCCCTGAAATTGAGTAAAATTTTTGGGGAGTAATTTTCAAGCAATGATATGTTGACTGCAACCAATATTAACACCGCAGTAATTACGATATTACAGTACCTTCATGGACAGAATTCATTCTAATTAAAGTAAAACTAAAATTAGCCTGGAATATGCGTACACTAAATTGAAGACAAATGAAAGTAATTTCTGTTCTTGGTGGATTAGGGGGGGGAATGAAATTTGAGGTCGAATTAGTGTTGTGGTTTGCAGTTATTTTTGCGTCTTTGTCAGCCACTGGCAGTCCCTCTGGGGAGTTGGATACCAGCGTCGTGTGCTGTTTTGTGCACAGTCAGTCTGCTGCATTGTGCTCACGGCCGCTGATATCTGGCCAGGGTTTGGGCATCGTGAAGAGCCGACCGTATTACTTACAGGGCTCGGTTTGCCGTAGCACGGGTTGTGCATGCGTATCTGTTTACGGGTGTGCAGAAGACGCACACACATACACACATCTGTTCTATTCCTACACTTACAAATGGTACTTCCCATCTACTGTACTGCTGCTCCTGAGTGGGTGGGATAATTTCCCTTAAATTTTTAATGATCAGTTTAACACGTAGGCTTTCGCGACCAATATTATTCATAATAAAGGTTTTTGGGTGAGATCGCGTTATTTATAAATGTCGTAACCCTCCACCACCCGACACAGACAATCAGTAAAAGCTGTGTCACGTTGACAAAAGACAAATAGTTCACTACTTTAGCCCACCGTTGTGTTGAAGAGTGAATCCACAACATTTACAATTTTGAGTACGACGTTTCGCTGGTAATTACATCCAGCATCATCGGGCGATTTTTCAGAATAGTGAAGCCCTCCACCTGCTCCCGGTTTTAAATAGAGCAGCAGGGTGATGTCATCATTTCACCCAATCAGGTGCAGAGATCAGAGGTGGAAGGGGGGGGTATTGTAATTATATAATAGATTAGTAATCAGTTAATTGTTATGATTCCTCTATAAGTAGTTGTAATGTGTATTATTTAATAACTGAACCCAATCACTATACCCAATCGGGTGCAGAAATCAGAGGTGGAGGAGGGGGGGTATTGTAATTATATACTACGTTAGTAATCAGTTAATTAGTATGTGTTTCCCCTTGTAAGGAATTGTAAATGGAATATGTATTATTAATATGCTTCCAGGCCGCACTAAGCCTGTAGCTGTCAGAGCGATTAAAATAATTTGTATTTCTCTCAATTTCAAATGATTCTCAAATTAGTTTTGGCCAGTAATAATTCGTTTTACATAACACTTCAACGTTATCAAAATCAATTAGGTGGCCTTGTTGGCAAGCATGTTCTGCCACTGCCAACAGTTGTGGTTGAGATAATTTAATATTTCTTTGGTGTTCAATGCACAAAACCCCGGCCATCGCGATCTAACCCAAAAACCTTTATTATGAATTTTTTATGATGTTTTGGTAAAAAAAAACAATGGCCTGTGCATACTTGTCACATAATTTCTTCAACAGCTTGCTTGATCTATACTGTATCTGGACGAGCTGTTGAAGGTACAGAAGCTATTTTAGTCTTGTATAACAGGAAAGTGATTATTGTGAGATTTATTTACATTTAAAAATTACGTTTACACGTTTGTGGGATTTCTGCCGGTAAGCTTTACTGGTGCTGTTTGGGTACATCGGCTTCTGTGTGTTGGTTACAAAAAATTCCAGCTGTGATTTTTTTCTTAACCCACTGCCAGCATCAGAAGGATGGGGCTTTGCAGTGCTAAATGTACACAGTTTTTGATTTAGAGAAGCAATAACGCAGAGCACAAGCCATGCCAGGTCTGCCCTGGTCTGTGATTTTACTGCACGTCACAGACAGATTGGGTCAGCGCAGCATAAATTATCAATAAATATTATGAAATTTATTATCTTTCATTTCTATTTTCGTTTTTTTCTCATTCTTCTGGCTCAGTGCCACTTACAACTTTTATAAACGACCACTTAATTTTGTATCTTGCAGCTCTTCACGTTGATTAAATTTACTGGCCACTCCAGTATATCAAGAACATGCTGCTGCAATGACAAATATTTTTGCAGTTGTTGGAACAAAAACAATAATCATACTAATGCGTATCCTTCAGGGATTCATGTCAAATTAAAGGCTTATTAATAATTAACTATACAAAAATAAACTGCAGTCGTATGCCAGTTCTTGAAGCGGATTCGTGAATGATGAAACTCGTACCTCATTCCTGTGGACAGCAAACTAGGATCGACTCGACTCAGATTGGCCAGGTTTTTTTCCCAGAACATCTCGAGTTTATTAAAAAAAGGAGCACTTTCAGGACCTTCCGAGTTGCTCAGGTTATCAAGTGAATTCGGCAGTCTTTCACATGGTATTGATATGTCTGGTCAGCTCAAATTCAGACTTGGCAGACAACTTGAGTTGTCTAAATGTTTTTTGAATGAGGCTTAAGGGGGGGACACATCACTTGAGTACCCCCTTGAGTTATGTGGTTCATGAAAATTAGATATTTAGGCTATTGTTCATGTAGGCCAATGAATTGTAGTGAAGTCGGAATCAAGCACTGAGTGAAAATATCCCTTTTTAAATGTTGGAAATTTTAACACACCATGCATTCACGTGCTTAAAGGCTGGGCACTAAGCAAGGAAAAATATAACTTTGGGATATATTGTAAACGTATTGTCTAAAGCAGGATAAAATAGACAGTCCAAATCATCATGGGACCTCCTTTGCCAGTGCCAAAATATAAGAATAGGTTTTCCCCTTTTTTTTGGCAACAAAACAGGTGTTTAGATGTTAAAACACCAAACTCAAACCTTTTGCAAGGAATCATGTTTGCATTAACTACAATACTTGTGGTCAGAATGATAAAAATCATACTCTGATAATATATGCGTTGTCTTTGAAACTGATTAGTCCACACCAGAGACAGCTTTCTTTAGAGCCGAGTCTCAAACAGTGTTAGACCAGAGGACGCCAAAAGGCATACAGCACAAAGACAATGCACTATCAGAGTAATGAGAGCTCAGGGTGAGCAGCGACATCATGGGACAGTACCAAAATATGATAATAGGTTTTCCCCTTTTTTCTGGCAACAAAACAGATGTTAAGATTTCGATTTAAAGCTTTCGTGACTGCAGGGATTCATCTTCTTGGTTCTTTCGGTAAAGTCACGTAGAAGGGAATTAATAAAATAATACAAATTAAACACCGAGACAATTTCAACCGAGAATATGGATTCTGGCTTAGCAATCATTGGAAGGATTTGATAAACCATTTCGGGTCTTAATTGATTGTGTTCACGCTTACGGTGACTTTCAGACCGCATTCCATTCTCTTCCTCTCCCCCCTCCTCTTTTCCGAACATAGATGGACTCGTCAATCTGAACAACTGCCAAAATCGCTGTCCGTGGTGCTAACTTAAGAAAAAAACGCCACTTTTTTCAAAATTTCTTGCTATGTTTTTCACACCTGATGATGATTGCTTGTGTTGCAGTTGAAACGTCGTGAGAATTTTATTGTTTTATATTTTAATTATTTTATTGCTTCCCTTCTACGTGACTTTACCGAAAAAACGAAGAATACTGGCAAAGATGTTAACACACATGATGTAGCTGCTCTCCCCGAGTTCTTTGTGCTGTTCGCCTTTTGGCGTCCTCTGGTCTAACACTGTTTGAGACTAGGCTCTAAAGAAAGCTGTCTCTGGTGTGGACCAATCAGTTCCAAAGACAATGCATATACTGTCGGAACATTTTTTTTTTGTATTTTCACCACAATAAATCTGTGGTTAATGCAGACATGATTCCTTGCAAAAGGTTTCAGTTTGGTGTTTTAACATGTTGCCAGAAAAAAGGGGAAAACCTATTCATATCGAGTCCAAATAATTCCCTTTTGAGGCAGTTTTATTGTCAGTGGCCCTCTGGTGACCCTAAAACCAGGGGCCGATTCAATACCTCACTCCTCTCTTGAGTTACATCTGTGTGTGAGATGGACAGATATACTCCTGTATGCTCATTCACGCTTCGCTTGTTCATTTATTAATTACAGCCGTGGGTATTACGCCACACTGTTTTACCCATGTCACTCCAGCAGCTCTGATATTCATGCAGTTGTTTGTGACTTTGTTTATATGCAGTGCAGTGAAACAAGCCTGTATAGTATAACATGTAAAGTGTTTGAAGATCTTACAGATGTTTAAATGTTAAACCATCATACCCAGGGATCGCTGCGTTGTGTGTGCGGGCATGTGTGTTGCGTGTGAATCCGTACACGTATGTGCAGTTGTATCGTGGTTTGGTGCAGTGCGCGATCGTCCAGGTGAACTGCGTTCGAGTACCTGGCTATACTGGATAACATTCGATGGAAATTGCAATATTTACCTGATTTGGGTCTCCCCGAGGTCGACTCATTTAAAGTCGAGTACATGATCTGGTGTCGTTTCGAGAGAAGCACTGTAGATATAAAAGCAGCCGGGCACGTGTGATGCTGGCCTGACCACTCCACTCGCTGTTCAGGCCGTAATAAATAATTGCTATTAGCAAGCACACATTATGGTTTCCTGCGAGTATCGAGAGCGCAAAAACAAAGCAATGTGAGCATAAACAAAAAGGTAGTCCAGAAGGAGACTTTGTTGCAAAAGATACAAAAGAAGCGGTCTTCTTTAGTTTTGACACGTAATGAAATGGAGGCCGACAAGTTAGCATCAGTGTCCTTGCACTGCCGCGTGGAGAGAGCGACAAGTAGAGGAAGTCCACGCAGGAGGTGGCCTGATGACATTAACGAGGAGGACTTAAAACAAACATAGGTCTGCGGAAAGGGGTCGCCATGACCAGAGAAAATAAGGAGCGGAAGAAAATTCGTCCAGCCTCGTCGTCAGCCGCCATGTGTAAACTAGCGAAAGAGGAGTAAGCGGGAAGACTCGGCACTTGTCTCAACAGTCTAAGGGAATGAGCCGAGGATGGTTGTCGTGTGTGTGTGTGTGCGCAGGCTACTCTCGTCCTGACGAGGAAATGTCGGCGGCGACGTCCATGGCGGACCAGCAGGATTTCCGCGTGGTAGTCATCAATCGGCCACAGGAGCAGCGCTTCTGCAATAACCGCGTCAGGTGAGCAGGGAGATTCACACTGCTTCTGTCCCTTCACTTTTGACCTGCAATCGTGATTCCAGAATTTGTACCGTGCCGTATGATTGCAATATTGCCATCGTCATCATCATCATCAGCTATGATCTATCCATTGCTGGGTTAAGGCCTCCATAGGCTGCTGCCATCTCTCATGATCGTGCGGTGCCACAATCCATCTAGCTCCTGCACATGAGACGGTGTCATCACTTCGACTCTGCGGTGGATGAAATCACGAACGTATTTCGTCCTTTCACTGCTACTCTGTCGTGATATTTCTTTAAGAGTCAGAAAGTCGGAAGCGTCCTCCTTGCTCAAAGAAGTGTTGGGTGGTCATCTGTGAAGGGGGCCCTAAGCCACAAGAGGAAATTACATTAACCTCTGTCAGGGGTCACACTATATTTTAGTATACAACTGTGAATAATTTGTTGAATCTAACATTTTTTTACATTTATATATGGGCAGCTATAGCTTGCAGTGAACGTAATGTTGGACTGCCACTGATACAAATATATATTTTTAAGCGACGGTAACTTTTTGGATTGAAAGAGTATTTCTTGTTACATGACTTTAAATGAAAAACCTCACACTGACACAATGCCAATAACATTCAACTATAATAATTGTGTCTTATGAAATTGTAATCTTAAGTGTGCATGAACTTTTTTTTTTTACGTCGTATAAGTTCTGCATACATATTACACACTTTAAATGCTAATGCATTTGACATTGCGGGTTCTCATTACTTTGACAGTACCCAATACGAAAAACGATCACACATATATGTAGTTCATATTCTTGGTTCTTTCGGTAAAGTCACGTAGAAAGTATTGATTAATTAATTAATAGTGATACTTAATATTGATTAGATATAAGCTCAGTATACATGCATCGAATTGTGTATGCACATTTTTTTTTACTTGTCTTTGACGCATGACCCCAGCAGCTACAAGTGGCTTCTATATTCACTATAGTGTTAAAACTTATACTGAATCCTTGAATTCAATCACCACCCAGACTCAATACATTTCACTACTTCATATGAAGAGGTGGTTGCATACGTCTCTGGTATGAAGTGAATGCAGAGAAATGTTTTGAAGCTTTGTTGAATATTGTTGATGCAGTCCTGGACATGATATTATGGAAAACTAGAGTAATGCGTGCACAACGATTAATAATGGAATGTACCACGGTTCAATTCCTCGCCACGGCGAACATCAGTGGTGAGTGATGTCTGAACTGGTCCAACTTTCCCAAGAGTAATAGGGGCCGTCCATAAATGACGTCACACACCTGGGGGGGGGGGGGAGTCAGACATTTGTGACGATGTGTGACGAGGGGGGGTGGGGGGGTTTGAGAAATGTGACGTCACATCAGAATGCGCAACTTTAAATAAATATCGACAACACGTTCTACTTAATTAAATAGACTTTTTAATAAATGTTTTCTTCTACAACATCAGAATATAGCGGCACATTAAATACGCACTACAATGACAATAGTTTAAAGCTATTTGAAGCATTTTTTTGGGGGGGGTGGGGGGCAGAGCTTTGTGACGTCATATTTGAGGGGGGGGGGTCTGACTTTTTGTGACGCCGTGTGACGATGGGGGTGGGGGGTTAAAAATCGTTCAAAATCGCGTGACGTCATTTATGGACGGCCCCATACTGCTGCACTGCACTTTTGTGCTCCCACCTCTGTGGCCCCTGCCGTTGCTAATCCGCACTGACCAGTGTGGGGTCAGACATTCTTCATGTTGACTGACAGGGCATGGGGAGGCCTTTATCCAGCAGAATTTTGGCAGAGCGCCGAACAAAAAAACGATTAGCACGGTTGGCTACGTAGAGTGCGAAAGAAGTTCAGTGTACGTCCGTACTATACATTCAAATGTGTGGTCTTGCTTCCACAGTACGGCCAAGTACAACGCTCTGACCTTCCTGCCACGCTTCTTGTACGAGCAGTTCAGCCGAGCTGCCAACCTCTTCTTCCTCTTCATTGCCCTCCTGCAGGTGAGGGTGACGCAATTGGCATTGCTACTGCAGCTCAGGTAGCGGAAATTTATGAATTGTGGACTAACTCTGGGTTTGGGGCAAGAGTTAGGTTAGGGCTGTACGCTGTCCTGCGCGCGTGTGTTTGTTGCTGACGGAGACCTGTTTACGCACGTGACAGGTCATGCTATGGTTTCAGCTGTCCACACGTAATGGTTGCAATAAAGTTGAAGGCAGAAACGCGTTTCCTTGGCAATTTGCCCCACTTTAATGGAGCCATTGGCAGGTTTTTGTCGAAAGGGATACTTGTCTTGCCAGAGAGGACAATTGCCAACAACTTAATCGGGTCCTAAATGTTATCCCTGATCGCACGTGCATTGGGTGCCACTTCCACTGGTCGTCCTAAGCCAGTTGCGGAATTCATAATTCCTAAGTGTCCTGTGTCTCTGTGGAACGAAACAAATGCATCAACTGTTTACAATTTTATCCTCAAGTGAAAACACTCGCATACGCTCACTTCTACCAAAGTTGGACTGAGCCCCTTGATGCACTACAACAATGCATAACGAGTTTATATTCATACGATCATTTCAGAATTAGAATTCTTATTTATTCTGGATAAATCCGATGAGCTATGAAGCTCTTTTGCACAGATGTCCAGGAGCGTTGGCGGCACTTATCTCCGTTGCAAGCCCTGAGCCAGTGGTGACAATTTCGTTTTCATGTTGTGTGAGACCAGTTTGTCCATAGAATTATTCATGATTAGATGTTTGTTTTCCCCTCTATCAACATCGATATTTCATCCCTTGTTTAACCTTTAATGTTTGTGCATTTGTCTTTATTTCCCGTGTTTGTCTTTTAACCCAGACCCCTCCTGATAAGAAACTTTACATTTTAAGTGGATTTCTCACTTGGTCCAAACAATGAAGGGAGGGCCTCTATTATTTTGCAGGGTTTGCGTAACGATAGCTCCCCCCCCCATTCTGGAATTTTAAATATTGCTTTTTTTCTCGTGTTATTTACATTGCCCTGCCCTTCAAAGTGTTATTCATTAGTTGCTGTTGCCAGCAAATGCTGATGACACTCACAATTATTTAGAGGCCCTCCTGGAACTTCAATCTGTACAAATGCAGTGTGAGCCGTGAGTGGCTTGACATTTATGTTTATTAATTGAAATTCAGAGTTGGCATGTTGATATTTTGTGAATTATTTAGTTAGAATTAATGGATCTTGTTTTCCATTGCAACGGTATGATTGATAAACAGTACAGTATCAGTTTTCAGCGGCACTTTCAATTAAAATTCCCCAGCCTTTTCATGACATAGCAAGCCAATTAAGACATTGCTTTGGGTCCAAAAATACACTCGTGATTTTAAGTGCACACATCAAATTAAAGAATATGGTGGGTTTATAAAAAAAAATCAAACAAACAAAGTCGTGCATCGTAAATATTGTGTGCAATCAAGAAAACGAAATTGCAAGATGCCGATACACGTCGGTGTTTGGTATGGAGAGTTATGAGCGTCCATTTTCTAGATTGTATTTTACTGGAGCACGGGGTACACATTGAAAAGTGATTACGCGTGTGTGGGCCACGTGGCATCGTACGAAGGCAATGCACGGATTTTGCCTCGAGCCAAATGAGGGCTAATGTTAGAAAACAGAAAAGCACAAAAGCTGCCTCTGGTAAAAGGCGAATGGAAATCCCAGGGGTTTTGCAAAGCTCATTCGTGGTGATAGCGTGCTCAGCAAAGATTCAAAATGCTTGTGCATCAGTCAGGCGTGGTCAATCCCGCCAGGTTTAATAGCATAGTGAGGCAGCCAGAGATAAAGATGGATGAAGACAGATGAGTGTTCTGCTGACGACTAGGCTCATCCAAAGCACTCGGTGTGTGCTTATCTCACAAAGCAACGCTATGTTACCGACTCGTACATTTTCCAGTTTTTTATCTCTTCCTTGTTACACTTTTAGCAGCGCCGTCGACGTTGCTTGGAGAAATGGCACTTTTGTGACGATGCTAATTGTGCCGCTCGCTTTTTTTTGCCTCCCGCGCTTTGAGCAGCAAATCCCAGAAGTGTCTCCGACAGGGCGCTACACAACTCTGATGCCTCTCATCTTCATCCTTGTCGTGGCCGCTCTCAAGGAGATCATTGAGGACTACGTGAGTTATACCTCCACCGATGCTGGGATCCCACGGGGCATCTTAACGGCCCACTTGACCGGGTTAGAAAACTGGCAAGTGGGCAAATATGATATAGCGGAAGTTAAATGAACTCTGATCACTTCCTTTCAACCGTAGAGGGAAGGGGAGAGTAGAGGGAGAGGCAGGGGGGTAATGGAGGTGGTGAGTAATGGAACCCATGGATCAGCGAGTTGGGACAAAACCCGAGTCAGGGCAGAGCTGTTCAAGAGGCAGCTCAAGCGCGGCTCAGATCTCGTGTCGAGTCGTCGTGGAGATGCGGCATTAGTCCACTTCTTCTTGGTTCTTTCGGTAAAGTCACATAGAAGGGAAGTAATAAAATAATAAAAATAAAACATAATAAAATAATATGTTATTATATTATTTTATTATGTTTTATTTTTATTATTGTAAATATAAAAATAAAACATAATATTTTATTATATTATTTTATTATGTTTTATTTTTATTATTTTATTACTTCCCTTGTACGTGACTTTACCGAAAGAACCAAGAAGATGAATCCCTGCAGTCACGAAAGCTTTAAATCGAAAATTAGTCCACTTGTTGTTCCATTTGATATTTTCAGTTGTCGCATAACAGTTACGTAATAAAAATAAGGTAAAGCGAGAATTTATATTCTTAGGTTTTTTCGGTAAAGTCACGTAGGTAAAACATCAAAATTAATAAAAATAAAATAAAACAACAATCACGACGTTTCGGAGGCAACACAAGTCTCTGTCATCTTGTGTTGCCTCTGAAACGTCGTGATTTTTGTTTTATTTTATTTTTTATTAATTTTGACGTTTTACCTACGTGACTTTACCTAAAAAACCTAAGAATATGAATCCTTGCAGTCACGAAAGCTTCAAATCTAGAATTAAAGTGAGAATTTCACAAGTTTAGCCAGTCTTCTTGCTGCAGGTAACTGTATTTTCTGACTTTAACACGAATATGTTTTGTTCTCATAAAAATGTCCATTTTCTGTTCTGCATGTTAAATAATGCTTATAACGTTTCTCGATTTGGTAGCAACGAAATCCCTTGGTTATGCTCTCACCGATCATGCGTTCAACTTGTGTACAAATTTCCGCATCGTTTTATTTTCTGTTTGAGCCTCCTAAGGGTTGACACTTTGCAGAGAAATGTCACGCCTTATCCTTTTCCCAGAAAAGACACCGGGCTGACAGGGAAGTCAATAAGAAGAAGACGACACAAGGTACTAATGCCAGATTGTATAGTTTGAAGAGACACCAATGGTTGACACACACACGTACAAAATCCAATCGCAAAACTCGGGAGGCTAATTTGGGGCCTGGTCTCCTCTTGAATGCAATTGATGTTCCTTCAGTTCGACCTCCATAGTGATTAGGTGAATTCCGTTATTATTATATTTTTTACTCGTCTTTTCTGGAGCCTAAAGTGTGATAATGTGATACGGTCAGCAGCTGCATTGCCCAAGGGTAGTAGCACAAGTGGTGTTAATGGATGCCATGGACTTGTGATTATTCATTTATTCGGTTCTTCCAGTAACTTGCAGCAACTTGGCAGATTCAATTATTCTTGTTGGAAATGGCTCGAGTATAATGACATTTTATCTACATTCGGAGGGACTGTTGGCTTCCGTTACAGCTCTTGTGACCTCAATTTGCAGCCAAGTGTGGTAAAGGTAGTACTACGCATTCTGTTGTTGGTTATTTTCTGCAGTGGTGTCGCACGGATAGCCCAGCAGTGGGCTGTAACTCTTCCAGTTTCACTTGGCTCTAAAGGGCCCAAGCTTCACCTTTGTTGACGTTTTACATGTAACATTGACAGCATTTATCCACGAGCTCTGTCCAATTTGTCCGATATTGGTAGGTAGGCATGATAACCCTCTTAAAAATGATCCAATATCAATTAAGCTTGGGCATGAAGTTTTGTTTGCTCTTTAGGGACTTACCCGATTTGAAAACCAGACACATTGATCGAAGGGTTTCCCAAAAGGTTGGACACACGACCCAAACGGACTCTGTTCGGTGTCCCTGCCCTGCCGCCTGAGAGGTTCCCTGTCGTCAGAGCCGCTATCAGAGCCCGGCGCTGACACAACGCACCGCTTCCCACCACGCTTGGCTCCAGCTTGGCCGTTATTGTTGCAAATAAAATATTTGCAAAGTGGGATGTGTGTGTGTGTGTGTGTTGGAACGCGTTGCGCAATCTCCGTGTGCGCTTGCTTGTTTTTTTCTTTCTTAACCGTGTCTATTTCACCAACCCCTTTGATGACCCACCCTTGGTTTAGTGTTGCAGAATGGAGACTGGCATACCGTGAGCTGGGAGAAGGTGAGTGCCCGGTTATCTCGTGAACCCAAGCAGCGGTAATTGGATTATCCGATATTGGTTGTTTACGTACACATCGGGTGAGCGGTGGTGCCATGGTTAGCACACTGCGCTACAAACCCAACAACCTCAAGTTTGATTCCAAGCCACGGCTCACATCAGTTGCTTGTGATATCTGAACTGCACCTGGGCTTTTCCCTCTGCACATACCCGCACTGACCAGCGTGGTTAGGTATAGCCAAACAACCCCCTGTTTATCATCATCATGGTATATGGATGCCCTCATTCAGCAGTGGATTTACAAAGGGCTGTAATATATATGCACTATATATAATTATCAAATTAATGCTTTCCTATGCATTTTACTCCGAGCTACTTTCTGAAAATATGTCTTTAAAAGAAGTTTCGTTATGACGCGATGTAATTGAATAAATGCTGTTGTTGTACAATTATTTGACATTATAATCGTCCTTGGACGCTGTTGTCTCGAGTGCTCCGTAGTATGGCCGCATTCCGGAAACCTACCCACCAATTACAAAACCTGCATTGATATCGTTTAACGTTGCCACCAGCTGTGGATGCTGTTCACCCATTCTCTCCTACAGGTGGCAGTGGGTGATGTAGTAAAGATAAACAGCAAGGAGCATTTCCCAGCAGACATTGTGATTCTGGCATCCAGGTAGTGGCTCTGAGACGGATTTGAGAAGCTCTTAGCTGTGGGCACACAACTGTGCCAACTTATTCCTCCTTGTCTCCCTTTGAAGTTACTCCCTCCCCTCCCACCTTGGCTATGGTTCTCACTATATTTATTCCCTTGCTTCACCATCTAACTCCTTCCTTCGTCTCCTCTATCCCTCTACCCTCTTTGTTGTCCCTTCCCGAACTTCTTTCTCTCTGCACCCTTGCCGTGCGCTCTTTCCCGTGGCCCCTTGAGGTTGGCGTCGGTGATGTTCTCAGAATCACGAATGGGCAGAAATTGCCAGCAGACCTGGTCATGTTGTCCTCCAGGTCTGTCCCTTTCCGCTCTCCTATTGTCCCCCCTTGGGTTTTCTTCACGACGAGCTTTTTTTTTGTCCTTCCCCACTGCTTCAAACTTCTTATTGTTTACACGCGAATCCACTTTTTTCATCTTTGTGCTCGTCATTGCAGTGAATGTTCGGGCCACGCTCGGTGCTTGTCTGAACAAAACGCAGCGTAGCTCGGCCGATCACGGTCCATTTCACTGCGGCGTGGCACGCGCTCCGCTGTACACTTTGATGCGATGCTAGGCGTGTAACATTGCTCCGATTAAAAATTATTGTCTTGTTTGTAATATGTGCCTTGTGAGAATCGATTGCGTATTATTTATGTAGATGATAGGTGGATCTTACCATGAGGCCAATTGAGAAAACGAAACTCTATAAATGAGACAGAACAAACGTCAAGCAATTCAAATGAGACGTTTTAAACAAGATAGCATGAATACATGCGTTTTTGTTGTCAAACAGAGATCTCACATTTTGGTAATCCATTCAATCATTGGGGTGGGGTGGATTGTTACATGCCTGCAATGTGCACTGTGTGCTAAGTTGAAAGAATAACAAACACATTTTACAGGACTAATTATAAACGGCCAAACACTGCCTTGGCAGATGATGATTTAAACAAATGTGCAATACATTTATATACACATAAAATGATTCCAAAATTGACAAAAATATGTTTTTAAGTGTTGTTGTATCGAAAGGAAGTGTAAATGTAAAATATATATACGCTACTCAAAGAGCTCACACAGGGCTTGCCATCTGGTAACGTGTTGATGTATAACTGCTAACCAAGTAACCCAGAAGAAATACATTATTATATTTATTTTATTTTGTAAAAGTACAAAGCGAAAAAAAACCCATGAGATTGCGTAACTTGGTTTAGAATCCAGTCCCAACGTCTCTGTTCAGACTTGGCTTTTGCTTTCCATTCAGCGAGCAATCACTCATTTTTTCTCATTGTGGCAGCTTCTGTTTTGGATGCTTGTTCCATAAAGAGCATTGCAGCAGCACCACCACATAACCACGTTAAGATGAATTGGGATTTAGATCCAATGTTAAAGTATATTATGCTCACAATCAAGCAGCAGCATGGGTCAGCTTTCACGATTAGAATCAAATAGCGCTCCGTTTCTATAATATACCCTATGCTCTTTAATTTTCTCTCGCTGGTTAAGAAGCTATATTATTTAATGTTTCTGATGCAGGTTAGTCTGGTAATCGACGGTGACATTCTGTGCTTTGGTTTTTATTTAGTGAACCGCAGGCCATGTGCTACATCGAGACTGCAAACCTGGACGGTGAGACGAACCTGAAAATTCCGGCAGGTAACAACAAAGTTTTTAAGTAGCTTTTGTCTTTTCGTAGATTGGTTCCATGATTTTTTTTTTATCGACCCCCGGCTGTTGCAATTTAACTCCCGTCTTCTTTACTCACCCTTTGTTCACCGGCGCATTTCTTCTTGCCTTACACCGACCACACGCAGGGCCTGCCACTGACAGCCGGACTGCAGACCAGCGATTCCTTGTTGTCAATTGACGGGCGCATTGAATGCGAGGCCCCGAATCGCCACCTCTACGACTTCACGGGGAACATCCAACTACAGGGACATGGGTAGGTCTCCTCGAATAACGTGTCACTTTCTCCATTGCTCGAGGCTCTATCCTCCAGAAAATGCAGTTATTTGATTCTGCGTTTGAACTACCGCGGAGGATTTTGTGCTTATGCAGTGTAGCTCCGCACCTCGGATTAATCATGGTTGGCTATGTACGGTGCAAAAAAAGTTCAACGTACATGCAACTAACCGACATGTTTTTTGGGTTGTACCACATGTTGTTTGACATGATCTCAGACGTTTCGCTCCACGGGCTGGAAGCATCTTCATTTGTGTGAATTTCTTCAGGAACGTCAGAACGGCTATTCCTGAAAAAGCTCCCAGTCCTTGGGATGAAACGGCGGACGTAATCCTGAACAACACGTGGCATAAACCAAAAACATATTGGAGAGCCATGCATTGAATAGACCGCTCTACATGTTGCAGATGTTACTGCCAAACCCATAAAAATAACATGTGGTAGAAATGGAATACATTTTCTTCGTATGTAAATGTAGTTTAATTGTTCATCTTATTGGATGCGATTGATTGATAAGGTTACAATGGTTACGACTGATGGAGACGATGCGATTTCTACTCGGGGGTGTATGCATGGGGAGCGGTAGTGCAGCTGTTAGCGTGCTGCGCTTCGAACCCAACGACCCGAGTTAAATTCCTGAGACTCTACGGGGGGATCTTTGTCTTTGTCTTTGATCAGCACGGTGCCACTGGGCCCAGACCAGATCTTACTGAGAGGAGCCCAGCTGCGCAATACCCAGTGGGTGTTTGGCGTTGTGGTGTACACAGGCCACGACACTAAGCTCATGCAGGTACAGCGCACGTGTTGCATGTTACTCAGCACATTTGAAATTTGAACACATCCTCATTTGATTCTCACCTGGTAAAACAATGTTTATCGCTTCAAATAAGCAGGCATTCATTCATGCATTAATACACGCATACCGACTAACAGCCAAGTAGGCATTCATACACAAAGCTACGTCTTTATTCAGGCTTACCTATAGATGCAAACTCGCATGAATGCTTGCATTAATCCACACACAGACTACCATATATCATTAAAAAAAGTCCAAATATTGAAATTCCAGTTGTCCATTAAAGACTCACCGAGTCTTAAGACTCTTTTTCGTGAGGGTCCTGCATCGGGATGTTTGTTCAATTACATGAATGAGTATTTTGTTAGGCTGCGTGTTGGGTGTTTTTTCTCAAACTTTTGCCATGCACGACTACGGGTATCTTCATCTCCTGAGGATGCCCGTGGTAGTGTTTGTGTGGGGAGCGAAAGTGTCGCAGTTAGTGCACTGCGCTACGAACCTGTCAACTCAAGCTCCATTCCCGCTCACGGCCAACACCAGTTGCAATTATCTGAACCTGTTCTTGGCCCCCCCCAAGTCGACTCAGCCTCAAATGTGTGCCTAATGCGCTGTGTAATCATCGCCACTTTGGGAGACAGAGGGCCGGGTGTGGTGCTGACCACCCACCCCCTCGCGTACAATGCCGGCCTTCATAGGTGCTCGCTAACAGCACTTGTCTCAACAGTCTGTTAAGGCTACACGGCGGATCTTTGTCTTTATGTGTGGTGAAGCTTAACAGACGAAATGCTCAAAGGCTGGCCTCACCCGGGAAGACCACTTGGATTACGAACGGATGCGAAACGTGTGTGGTCAAACACTTCCTCTTGTCTTTGTACACTTCAGAACTCTACTCGCGCGCCACTCAAACGCTCCAACGTGGACCGCGTGACGAACCTGCAGATCCTGCTGCTGGTGGTGACACTTCTGCTCATGGCCCTGGCCAGTGCCATTGGCTCCTCCATCTGGACCTCGGCACACTGGAAAGGGGACTGGTACCTGGGGTTCCGAGGTCAGATTTTCGGGTGCACAAATGCGGGCGCAGTGATCGGGTTAAATGTGTCGCCCCTTTTTGCCGCCCCAGAAGATTACCGGGAGAGTGAAGCTTCTGGGGTGCTGTGATGGATGAAGAACATTTACGAAACGTCGCACACAGCGGCGTAATGGGTTTTGCCGGGGCTACGGTTATTTTGGCTGTCATGGCGGGTTAAGTTTGTTTCTGTAGAGCTTTTGAGCTGTCGTGATGGAATATGAGGATTTATGAGAGGTAATTTCTAGGCGTCATGTTGGGTTGTTTGGTAAACGTATGGGCATTGGGAGCGTGATAATACAGTTTAGGTGTTAACTCAAAGGGCTTGGCAGGGCACCACGATGGGTGTGTCGGCTTATGGGGATTGACGGGCATGATTGCCAAGTTTAATAGGGTTGGGTAGAAAACATTGGTTTATTTTTGACTGATCATTGTCGATTTATGCTCTGTTTTTTTTCTTCAACAGTAAACCAATGTGATTTTACAAACATATACCTAACTTGCTTTTTGTGTGTTTTTTTAATCTTAGATAATGCACCGTCAAACTTTGGCTTCAACTTTTGACCTTCATTATCCTCTACAATAACCTGATTCCCATAAGTCTCCTGGTGACCCTGGAGGTTGTCAAGTTCATACAGGCCTTCTTCATCAACTGGGTATGCACTTGCTCACTCTGCTGCGTTACAGTTGTTTGCACCGTCAGCTTTGCCAAACGAACCCTGTGTGTCGAAAAAGCGAATTTTAGTATTTAGAAACTGGATCAATTTAATACGCTGGGCGGGTGGCTCATGTCTCGAATCGACCCTTTTGGAAGGGGAGGGATGGTTGATCACACACGTCTGAGGAGCTGCGAGATGGCCAAGAGATGGTAGTACAGCTAGTCGATTAAATCCATCTGTGCGGAGATTTGTGTTTCCCCCCCAGTGTGCATCGGTTATCTCCGATGACTCCATTTTCCTCCCACATACCAAATACTTTTTCATGGAATTGGCCAAACTTCATGATGACCCTCCTGAAAAAGAGTCTTAAGGTGTTCTTTGTTTATCCTGGATAAATTAAATTTGTATTGTTATTATTAACGCCAATTTAAAACATATATAAATTGTATCTGATTCAGCACCACATAAACGGGATATCCCATTGATAGATGTATGTGTCTAGCAGTAGCGTGTCACGGTACGAGTTCAATTTAGGAGAAAGTGGCGTCATTTGTCGAACTCTTGCTGTCGGTGTGCCCACAGGATGCGGAGATGTACCACGAGGAAAGCAACACAAATGCCATGGCTCGGACATCCAACCTGAACGAGGAGCTGGGACAGGTAGGGCACACAGTGGTGACTTCATCTCAGGCATTCTTCATTGTCATCATAACGAGCATGACCTTTGTTAGACTCACTCACGAAATTAGCTGTTATTGTCGTACACAAAAAAAAAACCCGGCAAATTCATTGAGCTGTCATTTTCTCTTTTTGATGGTCTAGCTTTTTTTTTACCATGAGTTCGGTGAGTTGAATTTTGACCATCTCTAATCTTCGCAGGTAAAATACATCTTCTCGGACAAAACCGGCACACTAACCTGCAATGTCATGGAGTTCAAGAAAGCCACAGTGGCCGGCATCGCTTATGGGTAAGTTGTGGACATCAATAGTTTATTTTTGTCTGACTGGTCGTTGTCATGTTTATTCTTTTCGATCACATGGAGGGTGGATTTAAAATTGTACTTGTTTATTCCAAGGCATAACGAAGAACCATCAGAAGCGGGATTTCAGGACCCAGCTTTGCTGCAAAATCTCCACAGCAATCATGTGAGCCGTGAAACATTGGTGAAGAAATGTGTTAAAAGGACAAGCGTTATTATTGTTGTTTTTGTAAAAGGAATAACATGTTTAATAACATTAATTACCAGTCACATAATTTTCCATGTGGGTGTTGTTGCTACCAAAAGTTTGTTTACATATTTTTTGTGCAAAAAATAAAAACACTTCCCAAACAGAAAAATTTAGGCCGCGGAATTGTAATTATGGCGTAATTTTTATTTATTTCTACGTTATCTGTCCTGGCAGCCGTCGGCTGGGGTCATCTACGAATTCCTCGTCATGATGTCCGTGTGCCACACGGCTGTGCCGGAAGCGGAGGATGGCTCAATCGTTTATCAAGCCTCCTCGCCCGGTAAGGGGACGACCATCGCTTCTCACCGGAAGGAGAATTTAAATCAGCGGTTGGGGGGGGTGGAACCTGCCTGTGCCTTGCTGCGGGCCAATAGGATTTTCAATTACCTTTTGGGTGGGTGGGCCGCACATTAACACGCAGCACAAGTTTAAGTTTATTTTGTTCAACCAAGTGGGAGCTCAAGAGACCGGGATAGTTTCATTTGCAAGAGTGACCTGGACCTTGACCTTGGTGACTACTGTCCCTGCAGGAGGCCCATCATGGCATGCAAAATCTAAAAACACAGTGTGGTCAAGTTGAAAATATTCGCCTTTAGTACCCAATTATTGTTTTTACGATGCTTGCTGTGACGGATTTAAAATCGTTTTGGGGGTGGATGCTGTTAGGCTTCGTGTAGCCTCTAGACATTTAATTAAGAAGAAGAATTTGTGGGCCGTATCCGGTCCGTGGTCTGTAGGGTCGCCACCCCTGCTCTCAATAATCCATTCGTGGTAATTCATGGTCACTGCACGATCTGTTACAGCCAGCGTGCGTCATGGTTACCCTGGTGAATATAATTTTTAAATTTACGTTCCAGTAATTGTATTCACTTTTTTAACACGTGGAAGGTATCCTTTACGTGAACACAATATCTTCACATTAAACTCTCCATAGATTTCAAATATACTAATTCTACAGACCACACTGCATTTCTCTGAGTGCCACGTATTTGTGTGACGGATTTGGTGTTCGTCAAACACCAGGGTATTCATCGTTTCACTCAGTGCATCTTTTGTCCACTTCTGGAGTTGGGTTTCACTGAGAACCAGTTTCACCTGTGTGACACGCAAACACCGGTGTTTAGTTTGACCCTTGTCCAGAAAAAAAGTTTGACCTCTTATGTCCAGCCGTGTTGCTACATTGACAGAGTGCACACCATTGTCTGCAGTGTGCATTGTAAATGAGGGATCAAGAGACCAACTGTACAGTCACAAGCGGCTCAACGCCACGGTCAAACACCTGCAGCGTACTGTACTGTATAATTAACAGCTGAAATTTACTTTATTCTTCGATGCCCAAGCACCACAATGCGGTATAGGCCTATGGAAGTTTTTTTTGTCAAGCTTTCTGTGAATAGCATTATCTGTACGTGTACAGCCCCCTTTTGAAAACACATTTCGGGAACGGATGAAACACGCGGCATACAATGATTAAAATAAAAAAGATTAACTCGGATAAGTTCAAACATAATCCAACTCTGCGATCAACATTTACATTTTTGTGCATTCGCTGATAACGGAACATTTCTGCTCCCACTTAACGCGATCGTCCACGTTTCGTTTTCTTCACGCGCACAACATCACAACATGCATCGAGATTATTTCGATTGTTTGGCTGCTATAATAAATTTCGATTGTTTGGCTGCTTTCAATTTCCACATGATTAGCCGCTTCGTTGAGCTATCACCTGTGGCCAGGTCGCTTCTGAAAAAGAAGCTAATACATCAGTGGACTTTACCTGGTAAAATAAAAAAGACTTTGTTTAAATATTTTAGTGATTTACTTACCTTTACAATACTTTGCACTCCCTGTCGTGTGTTTGCATCGTTTGTTTTTGAAACGTTTTCACCCCGTGCCGCCTACTGGACATCTGTAGAAAAAGAGCTTTACAGCTCATCGGATTCCTCCAGTATAAATAAAGATTCTGATTCTGTGCAGTCGCGCCGCACCCGTAGAGCGATGCGACCGTGGTGGTGCTTGTTCGTGGCTCCTGTGTTGCAGACGAGGGGGCGCTGGTGCGAGCCGCCCGCAGTCTGGGCTTCACCTTCACCGTGCGGACCCCAAACATGGTCGTCATCGACGCTGTGAGCAGGGGGAGAGGGCGAGGCGACGGTGGGGTACAGCTGCGTAGAATGTGTGCATGTTTCGCACGGATGCATGCAACCACCATCTTGTGACGCTATGACGATCCGTCACGCGTTTGCACGCTAGCCGAGTGTGTCGCTCCGCCTTCACGCTTGACGTCCTCTCGGGCGTGTTCTGTCTTTTTGGGTGGATCATTATTACAGGAGTGTAAATGGAATGTGTGTGTTCTCAATGGTGGTGTTGTTTCTCTGACACTGTAATGCTGCAATGCTGCATACGTTAGTCTTGTATGACATTGTTTATACGCTCAGGATTCACACGTGCATAATCAGGAAATGCTCGTATCACATGTGCACTTACAATGTCTCAAGTTTGTTTATGGCAATAGCTTTGTGACAGATGTCTGATCGATATACACAAATGCTTATTTTTCCCTCCCCCAAACATTGCTTTGGCTCAAGCGGAAGAATTGTTGTCATTGTGTATTCTGAGAGCTGACTGTGCATTCATTGTTTTATTTGCTTTTGCAGCTGGGGCAGGAACAGAACTTTGAGCTGCTGCATGTGCTCGAGTTTACAAGGTAAGGGTGCAGAACCCTTGAAATGCACGTACACATCCGTTAAGTGCATCTATTGTAATGCAGTGCACGCACGCACGCGTAAAAGAGGGTCCCCCGTTTAGTCTACACAGTCTCGAGTGCAAGTGATGTTAGCAAGCACGTGATTAAGGACAGCATAGCACGCGAAGGAGGTGGTACGGTCAGAACCACTCCGGTTCTCTTTTTATCGCCCCAGCGCCGATGTTTACACGCAACGCAACAGCCATTTAAGGCTGAGTACACCTCGGGGAGATCCAAGGCTAATTCAAAGACCACTACTGATGTTAGCAGTGGCTGTGGGAATCAAACTCAGGTCGTAGGGTTTCGTAGCACAGTGCCCTGGCCACTGCACCGCCATTTCCACGTTCACACGCATACGTACGTGCGTACCTACATGCAATGCGTACATCGGAATCAGAATATTTATATTGAAGGGATCCGATGAGCTATAAAGCTCTCTTTCACAGGTGTACATGTATACGGTACACACAGTGAAGCAAACTCCCATATGTATCCAATTCTAAAGGACAGCTATTGATTACGGATAATGAAGGAGGCGGTGAATGAGTGAAGGAATGATTGACCCTTGCTGTGTGCTTTGTTTTCCGGGCAGCATGCGGCGCCGCATGTCTGTGATCGTGAGGACCCCGTCCGGAAAGCTTCGTCTTTACTGCAAAGGAGCCGTGAGTCTGGCAACAGCCCTTTGCTACGCCACGCCGCCTTTAGTTTGACGCGGCGCACTGTGCATTTGTGCAGTGACTCATTGTGGCCGCGTCTCAAAGATGCTACCCAGAAACGGTGCGGATATTTAGTCAGTCAGTCGGGAGGCAGAGGGAAATAGGGGAGTCTTGAGCCTGGACTTGAACGGAAACAGGGAGCCAGCAAGCACAGATGACTGAACGAAAGTGGTTCTGGACAATGGGGGGAACAGGAGAAAAACAGTGATCTCCCACTGAGCGACGGTTAAATCTCGGGGGGTCAGTGGCGGTGTCTTTGGCAGTGAGCCTTGGTTGCTGTAGCAGAGAATGGCGCTGGTGGCGGGGGAAGAAGTGCCACAACAGAAGCGGTTGAGCGAGGGGTGAGAAGTGGACGCGCGGTCAGTAGGGGCGAGCCCGTGGAGGGTCTCGTAGATGGTGCAGTGTGATCTTGATGTTGATCCGAGAATCGATATTGAATTTGGCAGCCAGTCGAGTGAACGAAACGTCGGGGGTGTTGGCGCGGTCACGTTAACGAGTGTGGGTGAGCACAAGCAGCAGCAGCGTTTTTGATCAAATGGAGTTTGGAGGTGAGATGTTTGTGGGCGAGACTGTGGAGGAGAGAGTTGCGGTAGCCCAGTCGGGACGTGAGGGGAGGCATTGATGAGGTGGCAGCTGGGGTAAGGAAATAGCGCAGCTCGGGAGATGTCGTGCAGGTGGAGGCGGGACGTTCTGCACCGTGGGATCGTGTGGGGAAGAGAACTCAAATGTGAACGTGTTCCAGCGTTGTACCATCTCCCTTTTGTCGTTTGTTGTTCACCTTGCAGGATAACGCTATATACGAGCGCCTAGCGAATAACTCCTTGTACAAGGAGGACACCCTCCAGCATCTGGAGCTGTTCGCCTCCGAGGGTAAGCACTGTCGTATTCGGCACAGTTGACATAACCATGGGCACTGTGAAAATCTACGTATTCATGGTTACATTGTGAGAATATGCGTCACGTGTTCAGCAACGTCACGCGAACGAAAGTTTCATTGTTTTTGTAGCAATCTGAATATCGCCCTGTCACAATGGCATAGTATCCGATTATATAAATATGCAGATATTAATACGAATTATAATAGTTAAACCAAAGGTGGTGTATGCCTTTAACCCAGTACTCTGGACATTAAGGTTGGTCAAAGTCGCGCATATTTGGGATTCCCAAACCCACTGGGCCGAGGTGGGCAGGAGGTGGCAGTGCATCAAATAGGTTGTAAATCTTTCATAGTGGAACTTTCATTATTATATCCTCATATGGCTGGTTTCCCCTACACATGAAAAACAATCACTCTTTAAAGGTTTGGCCAAATATCCCAACGCAGAACCCTCCTAAAAACGTCTTAAGACTCGGTGAGGTTTTTTTAGGTAACAAAGACAAACAAAGACAAAGATCCCCCGTTTAGCCTTAACATACTGTTGGGGCAAGTGCTGTTAGCAAGCACCTATGAAGACCCGCAAGGCACACGAAGGGGTGGGTGGCCAGCACCACGCCCGGCCGCCTTTGTCTCTCAAGTGGCGATATTTTCACACCGCACCAGTGACTCATTTGAGGCTCTGTGCTATGATGGGGGTTATTCAACCACACATCACCACGCGGGTTGGTGACAGTGGGGAGCAGAGACTGCCGCACTGCTTTCTGCCGCCCACAACGTCCGCGAGTGTGGATGGGACACCTCGAGCACCCGTCCCGTTACTCGTCGTGATCGCCCTGCCAAGCACTAAATCACATTGTTTCGATGGTTTGCCAACTCGGCGCACGGCCAATAACTTAGCCTTGCCGTGACCGCCGTGCGGTAAACCAAATTAATCTTAATTCGATGACCACGAGGTCATGTCGTACGGCGGTAAGCGTGGATGCGTGCTGCGCCGCGTCTGCGGCAGGCCTGCGCACCTTGTGCTTCGCGTCGGCGGACCTGTCGGAGGACGAGTACGGCGACTGGCTGGAGGAGTACCGACGCGCTAGCACCGCGCTGCAGGACCGCGCCGTCAAGCTGGACGAGGCCTACGAGCTCATCGAGAAGGTGCCTCCATCGCTGCACCGTTCCACCACCACGACACCGCTGCACCACTGCACACGGCTCGTTGCAGCTCACTCTCTCAGAGCTTGGTCGCTTGGCACCCCCCCCCCCACCCCCCGTCTAACTTCTCCGCTTTGACACAGAAGCACTCTCGGCTCTGCCCACGAGGTGGCGAGCTTCTCAAAGCCAACAGCTGCTCGTTTGGAGTGAACCTCCCTCGCCGAAGGAGGGCTGCGATTCAATGTGGAATTTCAATACACCGTGACAGCTTGGTTAGGGGTGAGATTCGTTACCAGCATGGTTTTTTTAATTAGCCCTTGGCAAAAACATATTGTTTACATGGGATATGGATAATTGTTATATTTACTCTCAAAACACGTGTTGTTTTTACATATATTATATATACCACATCATGTTATACATTTTGTAAAAGTACAGCCCTTTTGGCTATACACTGCCGGATGAGGGCCTCCCCTCGTAGCGCTGGTTGTGGTGGGTTATTGAACCATAATTCACCATGCTGGTCAGTGCGGATTGGTGACGGTGGGAAGCGAAGACGTTGTCGCCGTCGGTCGCTAAGCTCCTGGTCGGAGCGTAGCGGTCCCCACGAGTGTGGCCCGGGTGAAAAATGCGTGCGGCGGCTCCCTTACGAAAGAGAGCAAAGCCACAGGCCCTTAACACTGATTTGGGTCGCCCTGGCGAGGCTGCCACGGTAATCTGGGCTGAGCCCGGTTCTCGAAACCGAGCCGGCTCTACTTCTCAGTGGCCACGGATGACGTGGCCATGAGAGGGCTTTTTTTGAAAGGGGCTTGTTACCGTTCCACTTGGTGAGAATAATGGGATGTCAGACCACGTCGTGCAGATCTCAGATCATCCACCGCGCGTAGGCAGGAGGGACGAGGGCACACGAGCGAACGCTGGCAAAGGCACAGAAACCACGGTGGCGCCAGGAGAGTAGAAATAGAAGCCCCTGCATTAAGGACTTTAGATTTTACCCAAGTGTAGCTCGCGAAACAAATACCCACATTGAGAGATCAAAGATTTCATTACTGAGTAGGTACTTGGCCAGACATACTGATGTTTTGAGGTTTCTTTTCTCATGGGAAGAATCTTTTTTTTTTGTTCAACGTTTGTTTGTATTACTCCTTGATGGAATTTCAGTTTCTTGCTAGATTTATCAGGTTTTAATTTCGGTTACACGTGACCCAAAGCCGTGGGGTACGCTTTAGTACTTGGAATATACGACCACTACCCATGTGTAGTATTACCTACTGCCCACTTTGGTGGCAGAGATATCATGAGCCAACAACACATTTAGTTTTGAGCATTTAGCCCTGACCCCTATCATTCATCGAAAGCACCCCACATCGGTGTTAATCTACTCTCGGCAAGGTTCTTCAGCACCGTGGCTAAATTCATCACTGAGAGTAACCGATATTTCCTGACACAAAAGCATTCCATTCCTGTAAACACGCCGGCCGTGTGGCTCAACATAGCCCTGCGTGACGGGAAAACATTGTCAACAGTCGATGAAAATCTCCATCAGCCAGAACAACCCCCTGCATAATGATTTCAAAGAGACCGCAGACGGCTGTGACCAGCATGCCTTTGAAGTGCAGTATATGGATCGGGTTGCATCTGTACGTCTGCTATAACATAGATACATTGTACAATCAAAGGTTTTGAGAGCTGACTTTTTATTTTAATATCACGATTTAATCATGGACTCACTGCTGCCGCTTTCTAGTACATTTGCCGGGTCTTCGCGGTGACGCTGAGAAGCCACCCTTAGGATGGCTGTGGGTTCTGCTCAGCTCTGCTCTGCCGTCCAAAAAAACGCTCCGTTAATTTAACTCAATTTTCTTCAAAGTCAAGTGTAAACAACCCTCCAATTTGGCAGGCCTGTTAAACATGTGATGTTGGCTAAACCGAATAAGGGGGAGCTGTACGTACCCAGCACACACTCGTCTATTCAGAAGGCTGACGTTTCTAATTAAAATAAATTTTGGTCATAATGAGGTTTCTACTTTTTTGTCTTCTAAAAATAAAAAGTAAGGGGGGGGGGGTGGGGGAATTTTGCCTGAAGCTTCAGGTTTTTTTGGCGGAAGACGCAGGAAACTCTAACGTGGCCGAGAGAGCGAATAACAAAGGCAGCTTGTGCTAGCACGGAACTCGATTCATATATAAGGGCAGAAGAGACTCTGCGAACGTTCGAGGCACACGTTGATAGCAAATTAATTATATATTTAAAAAATTCTTGAAAAACACCACAGAGACAAAGGATAAAAAAACGTCTTTTTTTCGAATTAATAAATCAAGAAAAAGAAGGGGGGGGGAGGGGAAATAAAATTGAGAAAGTGAGATCAGTCCAGTGTTGGGAGGAATCCAATCCAAACACTCTACTGGAGCAGCTGCAAAGTCGGATGAAATTTCACCCGACCCCAAACAAAGCCCCACCAGATGTCAGCCGCCCGGCACGGAGGAGGATGGCGTGCACGCCAGGCGTGAAGTGGTGACGCACGAAAACCAACAAGTGTAATTATTATAATAATTCACAATCAAATAAGAAATACAATAAACAAGCGGAATTTAGAAAAGTTTCTTTTTTTTTAGTCCATTCCTTCAGCCCCACTGATTCAAATTCCCCCCCTCATCGTGGGCGAAAAACTCTTGCACGTGGCCCGCTCGCACGAACCGTGACTTCCTGCACGCCGGCGAGTGAACGCGTGCCAGACGCACAAAGGGGGCATCTCTTATAAAGCACGAGGCAGAACCTCAGCGGGCGCAGAATCCTCCCAGAGTCTTCCGTTCACTTTTCACGGGTTTGCTTTCATACGCAACGCGTCGCTCTCCCCCCCCCCGTGTTGCGTGTGTTTCGGCGGAACTCGTTTATCGAAGCTCGCAGCACGGCGGGGATTAAGCGATCGCATGGCCGCCGCGCCCTTCGCTCCATGTGACGAATGGGCATCTTCCCATCCCACGCAGGATGAGCGCGGTTGGCAGGCAGGGCGCCCGGTCGTGGTCTTGAAAATACCGGACCACGGTCTCTGTAAATGCCACCGCGAAGCAGCTGTGTACCAATTTGTGCGTTTCACGACAATGTCAGTGGTCACGGTGCGGCTCTTAGCCCCGCTTACACTATCTTGCTGCCATTTGTACTTGCTGTAGGCTTCCCGAAGCAGCGGCGGCCTAAAATGAGTACCTGGTGCAGTTACGTAAACACTCGTTCTGGGGAAGGAAACAAAACAAGGATTTGAAGCTGGCCACCACCGCTCCCTCCCCTTCTGTGCCAGTAATACAAGTTACCAGATAAAAGCACTTGCGCCATCAGTCTCTCCAATCTTAAAAGAAAATCCTCACGTGTGTCCGTTCCTCTGTGTGAGCACGTGCAAGCTCGTGGTGTGTGTGTGCATGTTGGTATCCCTGCTTGCGTTTGTGTTCTTGCTTTAAGGGGAGTGCTGCCGGAGTGGTTGGCGTTGCAATGGTCTGTAATTCCATTGATGCAAAGTGCTTTTCTTCGTTTGTGCACAACTTCAGTGACGATTTTAACCTGAACCTTGGCTGGGCCTGCCCTAGGTTGATGAAGCTTAAAATGGGTATAGTGTGACAGTCAATGTCAGCACTTGGGAGAGAGCAATGTGGCCAGTGGTGTGGCAACTCGGAATCGTTTTTAATAGGTTCTCTCTCATTATCTCTTCTTTTGAACAATCTATACAGCTCATGAATGAATTGATTGTGTGTGTACTTGTGTGCTGATATGTGCAGAACCTGCACCTATTGGGAGCCACGGCCATTGAGGACAAGTTACAACCCGGGGTCCCGGAGACGATTGCAACTCTCCGACGGGCTGACATCAAGATCTGGGTGCTCACGGGAGACAAACAGGAAACTGCGATCAATATTGGTACAGCGCTGATTGCCGACATCATAATCTGGCAGATTCTTTACCCACTCGCCGAAACACATTTGCTAGTCCTTATGTTAAAGGCACAGCTGGTGACGCATACCCAGGAGCAAAGTTCAACATTGCTATTTGTAAACTGTTTTTTATAGAGGGCATCTACAAAACTACGACCAAGAGATGTACACACGTTGTTAAAACAAACAAAACATAATGTGAAGAGTGTAAATGTCACCAGAAAAGCTGTGTTTATGTAATCAATTGCAGCTTAATCTCTGTCCTGTAACACAAGTCGCAGTGTATAACCTATTGCTCTTTTCCTACTGCGTGATGCATGGTGACAAGAGGAAAAGTTTATTCATCAGAAAAACACACACCTTAAGATGCTGCTGATGACTTGGTATAGTTTTGGTTTGCTTGTTGTTGAAAAGGTTTACGATTATGACCGAATGTTCATTGTGGCTTTTTAGCAACAATGCATCTTTGAAAGCATGTAAATTGTTGAACCTTTAATTGGGCAGCTGCCAACATTCCCTCCAAGGAATTCGGCCCATATGCCAGTAGGCTGCTCCAAAGACCATTTTTTCCCGTAAATGTTAAAGGCCTACGAAAATGGCTTTAATAGCTGAAACAAGATATGCAGTAGTTCTAACAGAAAGCATTGAATGTGCAATGGACGTAAATGGTTTAGATGGGTCACGTTTGCCTTGGATTAGCGGGGAATTTGTTCCTTGCAGCTCTTGTAGGCCACTGAACACACTTCCGACAAGGGAATTTGAAAGCATTTGTTCATAACGCAATCTAGTGAGCGTTTATGTTCTATTATCTATTACCTGAATACACAGTCAAATGAAAAACAGAAATAGGCTCCCTTTTTCTGTTTTTTTCTTCTCCTATCCGCGATGTCTTCTTGCTAAGATCCGGCTTTGCAATTGCCTGCTCACAGCAACGCTGGCAGAAGGGGCTCCGCTACATAGAGCCCTTGAGAGCCCCCCAAGAGGGTATTTGGCCTACTCTTCCATGCTGGCCAGATGTTACATCGTGGCAGCGCTGCGACGATTTTGAATCCATCCACAGCGGAGGAACAAGTTTTGGATGGATCAATTAAATGCACAGATATTTTTATAGCTGTAAGTTGGTATCCATTCCAAACGGACACACATCCGCTCCGTCTGTTTAGCCTCTATGTATTTGTTGGCATTACAAAACAAGGGGCACATAACTTATGATGCTGTGAATGATCAGATTGGATGACGTGTTCGTTTTCAGAGTGGGCGGCAGATCTGCATGTCAGCGCGCACGGGTGCGGCGTAAAATCTGGACTGGATTTGCAATCCCTTGATGGAATGGAGCCAGATTGAGATGCGCGCAGGGCTTCACGTTCGTTTTACAATGGTTGTGGCGTCGATTGTGGTTTTTTTCTGTGCGGAGAAGAGCGTGGCGAGCTAACCCCTGCTGCATGTCACACGGTGTGCGCACGCGCAAAAACAACGCCCTACCTCCTCGTGGTGCCGGACGGCAACGCTGTGGTGGGCAGTGCCGTGTGGGGGGGCCAGTTTAGATTGGCCTTTCCCTTCATGGCGTTTGTAACCACCACAGCAGCCAAATTGGGGCTCTGGATGGGTGCGAGGGGCTGGTAACCCCTCCACCTTCAATTAATTACCACTAAACTACAATGTAAAAAACTTATTAAGCTTGTGCCGGAGGCCCCGGGGGGGACAGGCGTCTATGACATCTCCTGGCCAAACCGCATTTGGCGGAGCCAGGAGACTGAATCCTTACCCTTGGGGCTCCTCCAGAAACAACAAAAAGCCACTTCGGATGACCACGTGGAATGTTCGAACGCTCATTTCGGAGGAGAGGCTGCCACTCCTCTGTTGGGAGCTGGACCGGTACCGCCTGGATCTCTGTGGTATTCAGGAGGTCTGGTGGACCGGCTCTGGCTCCTGCCACCATGAGGGGTGGACAGCCCTCTACTAAGGGCAGGAGACTGCCAAGGGCAGGAGACTGCCAAACAACAGGGAGTGGCTCTTCTTCTTTCGACCCCATAGTTCGTGAAGCCTTCAATAGCTGTACCAGAGGAATTTCCATCTGGTACATATACAATTGGAGACTGATTGATGCCCGGGTGCGGTCAAGGGATGGCTCCCTATTGCTCAATCATGTTATGTATGCCGATAATCTGGTAATTGCTGCTCACTCAGGGGAGGAGTTGGAGGCGCTGCTGCTGAACCTGGAGCTTGCCACTAAGAGGTGGGGACTTACTATCAGCCCCACCAAAACTAAGCACCTGCCTGGGTATTTTGTACACTCCACCCCCACACAACTCCCAATTGGTGATAGGGCAGTTGTGGAAAGAGTGGAGAGTTTCCCATACCTGGGAAGTGTGCTCATGACCGGCTCTGGTTTGACAGCAGAGGTCTCACTCCGAATCAGTCGAGCGGCATTATCTTTTCATCGGTTGCGTAACGCTGTGTGGAATCTAGCTGGTCTGTCGCTCCACATGAAGCTTTAGGTCTTCTCGGCCACAGTCATTCCCTCCCTTCTCTACGCTTGCGAAACGTGGACCTCCTTAATGGAACATCTTCGCCAGTTAGAAACATTTAGGCTGGCCTGCCTACGATCCATCTTGGGTTTAACCAGGCTGGATTGTGTGAGGAGGTCACATATCCTTGAAAGATCTGGACAAAGTCCCATCGGTGAGCTCCTCCGGCAGACAAGGCTGCGTTGGCTGGGTCATGTAGCCCACATTCCCAGCTACCGCATGCCTAAACAGCTTTTGTTCGGCTAGATAGAGGGGGCTAAACGAGCGCGGCACAGGCTAGAGAAGAGATGGAGTGATGTGGTACAGGAGGATGTGGAGCTGGGTGGACTTGTCAATGGCTGGTAGCAGCGGTGTCAAGATCGGCCTCTGTGGAGGAGGCTCGTGAAGGACGCTACTGGGAGGGGGGAGGAGCGACGCTCACAACGAGTGGAGCGCCGGGTGGCTAAAGCACAGCAATTTGTCACAGCAGGGGGCACAGGTGGTGCATCAGCCAGTCATCTCAGTCGACCCGTGGCATCTGGGTCTGCCCCGTGACTTCCTGCCAGCGGGCAGTCGACACTTCACGTGGCCTCAACGTGCACTTAGCCTGGCACAAGCGTCGTGGTGACGTCACCGCCACTTAGTGGCGAATGGTGGTTGTTGTTGCACGCGCATCTTTCCGTTTCAGTCAGTCAACCCGTGGCACCCGGTGTCTGTCCCGTGACCTCCTGCCAGCGGCCGTTTCACACTTTCACGTGGCCTTAGAGTACACATAGCCTGGCACAAGCGCCGTTGTGACGTCGCCACCACTTAGTGGCGAATGGCGTTTGTTGTTGTTGTTGTCTTCCTGTGGTTTTGTCATCCGAAAGGCTACGCCTGCAAGCTGCTGTCACAGAACATGTCAGTGCTCATCGTCAACGAGGAAACGCTGGACGTGAGTGTGATCCCCTCTCGTCATCGCCGCTGATGGGATGGGACGGGAAATAGAGAGCCGGCCGCGTTCCTCGCGGGAGCTAATTGCATAATACGTATTCTTTTTTTTTTCTTAAAACTTTGAATAATTTCTCGGATAGTTTTGTAATCGCTCTCAGCCACCCCATCTGGGTTGCGTGTGAGTGGCAGTGTGCGGCGTCACACAGTAATTTACTCTAATAGTGCATCGCCTGCCTCTTGCTCCGTCCTTAAATGAAATAAGCTGGCCCCTCGGGGGACCTGGAAAGTCGATGTGCAGACAAAATAAATAAATTAAAGGGGGTGCCTAATGCAATTATAACCCTAACGAGGGCGTGCCTTTTCTCTGAGCCCCACTCCAAATCCTTAAGTGTGTTTTCTAACAAAAATAAATAACACATTCTTCAGACAGTGGTTATTTTGTTTTATTTTCCTCTTCTCTCCGCTGATAATGTTCAGCAATGTTTAAATAAAGAATAAAAAAATATAGAATTATCTATACATTAATAGGTATTTGATGTGTTCCGAATGTTATGCAAGTGGACTTGTTGATTGTTCTCTAGTGGTGTTAGGCCATGGTTTTGGCTCATGCAGAGATAATTTCCAGGCCTCTGTCGGTCACATATGCGGTGTTTGGTGTTTGGCACCCATTTGTTAAATTCATGGGGTTTAATAAATTATACCAAAGTAGCCCCTGTAGGATTATTCCCTTAACAGCTCTGGAGTTTCCATTTAAACTTTTATTCAAATTACTTCAACAAAAAAAACCTCCTGCATTAATCCCGCTAAATCTGATTGCCTGCAAATAAATAATAAACACAGGAAAAGTTCAGCACGCCGCTCAAGGAAAATGTATTTTATTGTGCGGCAGCCTGTGGACCAATCTTTTCCAGTAATGTTTGTTTAAGCAGTTCACAACTCTCGACTGGGTTTTGACTCTCTTGCTTATGAAACACATGCTGCTCGCTTGCCAGATGTGAGAGGCAAGAGCCCCCCATGTTGACAATGGATGAACAGTGAATTATGAGCGTTAATTAGTTTTGCATGCAGCCTTTTTAATTGGTATTCATGACAGGTGCAATAGTTCACTCCCACCCGTAATTTGACAAGCTGTCACAAATCAGGATCACGATTCTGTTTCAAGAATTTATTTCTTTGTTACGTTTTGACCATGTCATTAGTCATTCTTTGTAATAGTTTTCCCTCTCTTTTATGCATATTTATTCGCCCGACAAGCCTAAATGTTTCACTAGCAGAGCATTTGTATATTGTTTTCAACGATCCTAAATATTCTATTAGCACGTGAATGTTTCATTGCATGCATTGTGACCGCCAGCTTCCAATTTCAATCAACGAATCTTAATGTCACATCTGAAGTATTTATAGCTCATTGTAGAGATGCAGTACCGTCAGTCTTATTGTCACTTGGCTGCTGTTGTACGGTACACTTACTCCTCACCTGTTTCATTGAGGTTATCCATAAAAGGCTCGGCGAAGAAATTATCCATCTTGCGGATGACTCGTGACGACTGCAAGTAATATTGGCGGCTGCTGAGATGAGACTGCGAGTAGCGCAGACTTCTCCATCGGCGTTTAGAAGGACCGCGGGCGATCTGGCGCTAACCGGACCGCCTCCGCGCAGGTGTCGGCTGCTGCAGCTCGAACCTCGGCGATCGTGGCCGTCTCCACCCGCATCCCCGGAACACGAACTGCGTCTGCGGCGGAGAGCAGACGATGCCTCGCTCGTCTGCTCCGGTGTCGTCTCTTAGAGGAGCCGTGCACAGCCGATGATTTAAGCACCACAATGCTGATCGTGTGCGGACCTGTGCCCGCAAATGGTCGTCATTGCATGTATGTACGTTGAACTTCTTTGGCACCATTCGAGAGTCAAGCGTGCTAATTGGAGGTGCGGAGAAGGACAGCAAACTAAATACAAAAGGCAGTTCTAAATAAATTAGTTTTAATGTAGATTTAAAAGTGCGGAGCTCCACTGGCGTCCTAATATCGGAAGGAAGAGCATTCCCGATGGCCGCAGAAGCGCATCTGAAAGCGCGCGATGCGGGGACCGGCTAGCCAAAAGCCCCTACTGCGAGGATGATCCCAGTTTGTGTGACGGTTTATGCTTCTTGACGAGATCAGCGGTATGGTGGACTCGGAATGAATACATGAATGATTCGCTGACGGACGTCGTCTCTGCTCGTGGGCTGGGCTTGACAGGCCACGAGGCGCACGCTGGCTCAGCACTGCACCTCACTGGGCGAGAACCTGGGCCAGGAGCACGAGCTGGCCCTCATCGTGGACGGAAAGACGCTGAAGTACGCCCTCGCCTACGACCTCCGCCACTCGTTCCTCGACCTCGCCCTCTCTTGCAAGTCCGTCATCTGCTGCCGGTTGGTGACCACTGTAAAACGAAAAAAATGGAAAGCAGTATAATTTTTTTTTTCACATCCGGTGTTTTTTTCCTCGCTCTCAGCACGAGTGAGCGAGCGACGACCGGTGATCTGACCGATCGAGCGTGCCTGATTTGGTCATTATCTGTTGTTGGCAAAAGAGCAACCGTACGGAAAATTAGAGCGACAAAGAATAACACGAGAGTTGAACTTTGCTGGACGTTTCGATTTGTTTTTGCCGTTCGTGCTGGCGGTGACCCGGCCCCCCCGTGTGCTTCGTGTGCTTCTCAGTCGTGTTTCCGTATTTCTTTGCTTGCACACTCTGCTCGGTTGACGTGTGTGCCTACGTTTGACCTCTTTTGCTCACCGTTGCCTTCATTTGTTATCTGAACGTGCTCCAGATAGCTCTCCGTGTAATTAATGCAGTGTTGTTGTTTTTTTAAATGTTCTCTTCGGCTTTTCGTTTCGGCGAAATGTCTACATCTGTACGGAACGGCCAATGAAAATCTTCAGGGAAGCTTTATATATACAAAAAACGTGAAAAGAAAATAGAACGAAACTAAAAAAAAAACTGAGAAAAGTTGTGGGATTCCTGCTGACAGCTCGGGGCCCGTGGCACTTCTGCTGGGTGGAGGATCAAACGGCCGCCCATCGTCGCCAAAAAACCAAAACAAAACCCGACAGGAGCATCTGCTTCTGTCTCTCCGTCTCATTCTTTTCTTGCTCATTTCCTCTTCCCTCCCCCCAACCCCCTTCGCCCCCCCCCCTTCATCCAATTTTATTGTTATTTCTTTTTTTTTCTTTGTGGAAGAGCGGTCAATTTCGGGACAATCTGGTTCACGTGGAGGTCACGGGCTTCACGGTTTCGTGCCTGGAGGTGGTCGGCAATTTTGGTTTTCTTTGGCATGGCGGGTTTATTCAGCTTGTCTTTAATGCGCACACGTCTCTCTATGTTGTGATCTTAGCCTCAAGGTTGAAATGCACCTACGGAGAGTTGGCAGGTGCTTGCTATTTCTGAATAAAAATCGCCAAGGCGTACGTTAAGTTACATAAATACTGCATACGCAGAATGTTTAAAAAATGGCCGCAGTCATTGGCTGTTTCCTTCGATGTTTTTACATCCACTAAACCTGGGGCAAGAGTAAGCGGTAAGCCTAGACGATGTGATTTCTGCTCATCTGTTATTCCACATTTATCATCGCACGCTTTCCCTTTTTCACGCTTAATTGTTTCCTTCTCCCCCCCCGTTGTCGCCCCCCCCCCCCATCCCTGTTCTTCTCGCGTCCATCTCACCTCGGGGGGGGGGGGTGGCCGCCTCGCCCTCGCAGGGTGTCTCCACTGCAGAAGTCTGAGATCGTGGAGATGATCAAGCGGCAGGTGAAGACCATCACGCTGGCCGTGGGCGACGGCGCCAACGACGTGGGCATGATTCAGACGGCGCACTGTGGGAGTGGGCATCAGCGGCGTCGAGGGGCTGCAGGCGGCAAACTCCTCCGACTACTCCATCGGGCAGGTAGCGTGGCGCTGCCTTCCGCTCTGCCCCTCCTGCTGCCCGCCCGACTCACTTCGTCTCCCTCGTTATCGCCTTCCGTTCCTCTCTTTAAAAGCCTCCACCTCTTTTCTGTTGCCCATTCTCTTCCCTTTCTCTTCTCTCCCCTCGCCCCCTCCACTCCTTTCCGTCCCTCCCCTGCTCTTTCGTGACCCCCCCCCCCCCTTCCTTAGTACCCTCTGTTGCGGTCGCTCATTGCTCAATCCTTTCTTTAGAACTGCCTTTTGTGTTTAGTTTCTTATCCTTCCCCCGCCCCATACCTCTTGATGAGCATGGTTGGCTACGTATGGTGCGAAAGAAATTCAACATACGTACGCTCCAACTACATCATTCTGGTCTGTCATCTAATAGTGCACCGCATGGCAGGCGCCTTGAGTGAAGGTGCTCTATGAATATAATTTGGATTAGATGATCAAGTTTCAAGTTATATTATATGAAAGCAAGAGATTATGATAAAGATTAGGATGAAGTCTGCTGTGCAAGAGTGATCTGGATCATCTAAGTGACGAAAGCAAAATGAATAAAGTACAAAAACCACGTCACCACATGAGAAATTGAAAATAATGCACAAACATAAATCTCTGTTAAATAATAAACTCCCTGTAGCGTAAGTTGGCTCGGGAAATTTATTTTGAGACTGGTCATAGCGCGATTTACAATTACAATAGAAACATAAACGGATAAAGGCTGACTTTTATACTAATATATAAGAAATTGACACCTTGGCATCAAGTACGCGTATGCTGCATTTCTGCTCGCTGTATGTACGTTGAACTTCTTTGACACCGTACTACGTAGCCAACCGCGCTAATCGGAGGTGCGGCGGAAGGACAACAAACTAAACACAAAAAGCAGCTCTAAAGAAATTAGTTTTCAGCCTAGATTTGAAAGTGCATACCTCCATTGGCTTCCTAATACCATCACGTGGTTGGCGTGATGGTCTGCATAGCTACAATGACTTCCTCTAGCCAGGATACAGAGGATGTCGATGGCAGTGCAACTGCACAGGGCTGAGAAATCCAGGAGAGAGTCTTATTTCATTCCTTGCACCCCACGTCCCATGCCAACACTGAGGTGGATTTGTTGCAAAGAACGTTATTACGCTATCTTGTAGCATTTCCCTTGAGATTAGCTGCCTAATGCTGCTGTAGCTCAACTCAGCGGTGACTCCAGCAGCGCACAAAACGTGTGTGAGAATTTCGATTTAAAGCTTTCGTGACTGCAGGGATTCGTATTCTTGATTCTTTGGGTAAAGTCGCTTAGAAGGGAAATAATAATAGTTTTGTTGGTAATATTTTATTATTTCCCTTCTACGTGACTTTACCGAAAGAACCAAGAATGTGTGTGAGTATGTTGCAGCGTATGTGTCATTATCATCATCGTCGTCGTCGTCGTTTTAGTCGTGCTCAATCCACTGCTGCATGAAGACTTCCCCAAGCCGCCATCTCTCCTTGATCCTGCGATGCAATAAACCACCCAGTACCGGCACGCGACCTGATTTCATCGCTCCATCTCCTTGGCAGTTGTCTCCCCAGACGTGTTCCATGCCTTGGCTACCACTTCCATAATTATTCTTGACCGTCGGCCATCGTATCATCTCACGACATGTCCTTCCCATGCCCGCTTACTCTCTTCACCATTTTCACGGTGCCTGTAAATATCTCACCTGTTTCTTTCTCTGTTTCTCCAGCGCAATTCCAAGCGTGCGTTTCATCCACGCTTCCCTGTGCACTTCTCAGTTGTTGCACGAGTCTTAATGATTCTGTTTTTTTTCCCTGCTCCCCCTGGCCCGTCACTGCGGTGCCGATGTTTCCCCAAAAGCTCCGCTGCTGCTGCTGCTGCTGCTGACTGCTGCTGCTGACTGCTGCTGCTGCTGCTGCTGACTGCTGCTGCTGCTGCTGACTGCTGCTGCTGCTGCTGTTGCTGCTGCTGACTGCTGCTGCTGACTGCTGCTGCTGCTGCTGACTGCTGCTGCTGCTGCTGCGTGCACCCCCAGCTCTCTCGTCTCCAAGCCCACCTCTTGACCCTTCCCCAGGGTCGTCACCCAATGCGCCGCCCCCCCCCCCCTCCCCACCTCGTTCTCTTCTGGCTGTTCAAATACAACTGTGCATGTTTGGCATGAGAGTGCAACACATCTCGTGCCAAACATGCACTTTTGTTCAGTCACGGAGTCAAAATCCAGAAGAGAGGAGAGAAAAAAAAAGAGAGATTCCTTCACGGCCATTTTCCACCCTGGGTGTACACCAGTCTGGGTTTTTTGCCTCGACTTGCAACGGCAACGTCACCTTTAGATTAATTACTTTGCACACCGTGAAGGAGCGGAGGAGAGTGCGGCGTGCGCTGGGGTGGCAGTTCATATTTCACACCTCAAGCGCGATAATGAGAAGCTTATTTTTCCATTAAACTGCGGCCGCATGGGGCGCGGCTCATGGACGTTGCTAAATTACAATGGGGTTGTGACGCGCGCACGTGTGCGCACTCACTCGCTCGCTCGCACACCAGAGAGTAAAGGCAAAGATTCCCCCTCGTATAGCTTTAACAGACTGTTTGGGCAAGTGCTGTTAGCGAGCAGCACCTAATGAAGGCTGGCGTGGGTGGCCAGCACCGTGCCCGGCTGCCTTTTTCTCACCGCACCAGATGCAAATTTTTGATGGCTGAGTCAACCTCTAGGGGACGCGCTCGACCATGGGGTGCTGATAATTGTCACTGGTGTTGGCAATGAACGTGAATCGAACTCGGGTCGCCAGGTTCGAAGCGCCGTGCGCTAACAGCCGCGCCACTGCTCTCCACATGTTGACAAAAGCGCACGTGTGCCGTACACGGTTTGCGGGTATAATGCAAAGAAAAGGGGTGGCAAAAGAGAAACCCTGAAGGCCTTTTGCTGCTGATGGTTTTGTGTTAGTCCAAACTAATGTTACAAAAAATAAAAAGACCAAGAAAGGAAATTTCTACACGACAGCTGAGTTTGACGTGGCGCATGCGTCGTGTGCTGTTAAAAGGCAGATGTTCACGGACCTGGCACGTGCTGCCACAGTTCGTGCCAGTTGATGACCTCACTCATAATAAATCTCACTTGCAGTGCAATAGGATTAATAAGAAACACTAAAAAAGCCAAAACTCTTGGCTTGTGGCACGACTTTGTGAGCGAGCTCGGTGTCTTACATGTTTTTGCTCATTTTAAGTTAAAAAAAATGTGCCTTCGCTGTATTGTCACACTCGTCGTTTTTTTTGGGTTTGGAATCAGGTTGGCTGAGTCCACGCCACATGTAGGAAACTTTCGTTGCTCTTGGTACTCGCAATAGCAGCCCCCGTCGTAAACATTTACAATGTATTCTTGGTTCTGTCGGTAAAGTCACGTAGAAGGGAAATAATAAAATACTTTACCGAAAGATCCAAGAATATGAATCCCTGCAGTCACGAAAGCTTTAAACCGAAATTTACAATGTATCGATGCTTTTCAACTTAAGGTTTAAAGCGTTATTGCATCAGCTCTGTCTGTCCGCCTATGACCCGGGGCCACGATAACGGGCGTAAGGATGATCCTGTTACCCAGCAGTGTGGAGGCACACAAGGTTGGTGGATCACGCAACTGTTGTGATGAAACTCCCTTCCTGTGGCGTCGAGGTGCCATACCCTGGCTCACCACAAATGTAGATTCCACGAGTTCAATCTGTATGGGATAGAGCGTTACCCCCTCGCACGCGTGGGCTTTCTTCGCGTGCTGCGGTTTTCCTCCCACATGTAAACACCTTAATATATGGAGGACCACAGAACTTGGGCAATGATTGGCGCCGGCTCGCAGCCTCTGGCTGCCGCCTTACAGCTCGTCTGTGGTCCTCACGCCTCCCGAGTCTCTGGGAGTTTGAGCGAATCCTGTACGGTGCGTTACAAGTTGAAATTGTTATTTAAAAAAACAGGTAATAAAAGGGGCAGAGAATGATGGCTGGAGGAGCTTAACGTCACAACCGTCTGGGAAGAGAAGCAAGCCGTGGGCGCTCGGACAACTTGTTCACCGTTGTACGAATGTGAAAAGCGTTGCGGTTGGCGTGTCGTGGCAATATCCTTCACTCATTTTCAGATGGGTTGCCACTTTCGCCGATAAGACGTCAGTGCGAGGGCCGCCACACATTTGAAACCATCGGGTTTGACAGCAGCACGACGATGGGGGGTTGTTCTCCCACGTGTTGTGAATTGTCGAGTGACCGCGCGTCGGGAGCCGCACTAAAGGCCACCAGGGGGCCGCCTGTGGCCCCGCGGGCCTTGCAACGAAGAACGCTCGGCGTTGTGTTTTGGCGTGTTGTGACCATGTGTCCCGTCGTCGCGGTGGGTGTCGACGCCGCTGTGTGGTGAGCAGTTCCGCTTCCTGAAGAAGCTGCTGCTGGTGCACGGTGCTTGGAGCTATAACCGCGTGGCCAAGTGCATCCTGTACTCCTTCTACAAGAACGTCGTGCTCTACATCATTGAGGTTTGTGCCCAAGTGTACCCGTGTGCCGTGCGGCATCGGCAGCCATAGTCGATAGTTGGAGAGAATGCTTAAAACTCTCAAAGCATTCATTGAGCCAAGTGCAATTTCTTTAGCAAAGCACTGGAAATTTGCTGTAAATGCCAAATTATCTCGGTGCGGTGTGCAAACAGTCGCGTTGGGAAGAAAAAGGCACCCGTCCGTGGCATTGGCTACCAACCCTTTCGGCTGCCATGTCGGGTGACGTGTCGGCCTTAATAGGCATTTGCTAACAGCACTTGCCCCAACATTATGTTAAGGCTGTATGGGGAATCTTAATTTGTATTTGCCATGCAGCGTCTTTGACGCTGGCTGTTTGCAGAGGACAGAATAGAGGCCACATTATTTACTTAAGCCTTCCCACGTAAGCATACATACGCACAAGCATGCTTTGGCCTACACAGTGTTGTTCACGAGCACCTATGAAGGGCGGCACAGCGCACGAAGGGCATGACGGCTCCTATTGTCTGCCCAGTGCTGATGTTTACCCGATTGCACCAGATACTCTGTTAAGGCTGAGTCAACTTCGAGGAAGCCCAGGCCTGGTTCAGATATGAATTGCCACTTGCTAGCCATAGCCGGCAATCGCCGGGTTCGTAGCGTAGTTGCGCTAACCAAGGTGCTGTCCTTCACAAGCATTCACATGTGCTCACACAGACACACCAAGAGGTTATATTTACTGCCTGCTCAACTGATACAAAAAAGTGAGCTATGAACGGAGTTCAAACTGACTCCTGCTGACAGCTGTGTATAATTGAATTGACTCATCATATGAAAATAAGCTGTCAATCCTTCCAGTGGATGCATTGGCTGGGCATCACAAAGGTTTATCTGTCAACGTTTGCCTCCTTTAGTTGGGTGTACAGTAATAGCAAATTTGCGTGGTTGGCGTGCGTGTGAATGCATATCTCCGCTTGTATGCAAACGGAAGGCAGAAAGACCTCTGTCTGCAATTCCCAAAAAATGAAATAATGCGCTTCTCGCCAGTAAGCAGTATCGTAACAAAAGCTAAAGGGTTTGGTTTGGCCTTGACCTGTGCATTCCTCATCAAAACTTTGCTTCACGCGGTGGATTATGAATGTATTAAATTTTCACAATTTTTTTTTTAGAGGGATAGCCAGAAAGTTAAGAAAATAAGATACTTGAAAAGTCACACGGAAGGCAATTCTTCATGAAAGAATAACGTGTCGCTTGAACAGTCCAATATAGGATTCAATTAATGTAAATGTAAAGTAATTTATGCAAATTTTGGACTGCTTGCAATTTGACATTTACCATAGATTGTGGCTGACCCTGCTGTATATACAGACAGAGATCCCCCATATAGCCTTCACGGACTTTTGGAGCAAGTGCTGTGAGCAACCACATAGTGTATGGGGGGGGTGGGAGTTTGGCCAGCACCATTTCTAGATATCTGTGTCTCCTCATTGCTGTGTTTGCAAGAGTCGATCTTGGGGAGGCCCAAGAACCAGGTTCAGATGTCACTCGCCACTGATGTTAACCAAATTTTGGTCATCAGGTTCTTGTGCAGGGTGCTAATCATTACACACACAGCTACATTGACACACACGTGTGTTTAAGTAATGCCTACGACTGATAAAAACCTGTGCTCACACATGTGCACATTCACTCTGCCTTCCCCTGCAAACGGCTCACATGGGACCAGTTCTGGTGTCTCATTGCTCGGCTTACTCTGAGGTCCTACACACGCGTGGGCTCCACACCTTCACCACATGTGCCTAATGACTTAAGCCAGAGCCCTGGGCTGCCACAGTGCTATCTGGTTGCTGTTCGTTTCACTCTGCTATTAAAAGGGCAATTTCGAAGGATTTTATCATCAATTTTTAGTCCCCTTGTGGATTAACCCCATGCCCTATACTCCCCCCATCTGCCCCCAGTAAAAGAGCAAAAATTAGTTTGAGGAACTACAGGCCGCAAGTGTAAAAGTGGGTTAAGGCCAGTTGGGCTCACATCAAACACAACAGGAAGGTATTTTTTTTCCATCGCTGATATGGTTTGGGGAATTAGTTGAGGAGAAAGATAGCATTTTGCCAGACAGTGTTTTGAATAATTTTCTTGCTTAACAATTTACGGAGGGTCCAGTGGATTTCTGCGCAGTGTACTGGCCAGCCCTACTGGTGGCCAATGCGTTGCTTTGTACAAAGTGAAATTCCGGCTGTTGGCAGGCTTAAGCTCGTGACTTATTGCGGCCTGGGTACCTCTCATCCTTGATCCCCCTTGGAATCCAGTGCCTCACAGAGTCTTAGTTGGACTGTGTGGCGCAACGATAATTTGCGAGTGTGCGTTGGTCTGTGTGAAACGGCGTGCGTGCGCGCGGATATATACGTGCGTTTTCTTCACTTGCGCCCAGTTTGTGCCGAGTGAATGTTGTTTGGTGCTTGGAGACGCTGGGAAAAGTTTAGGAAAAGTGGCTTCAAAGAAATGGGCCTCCACAGCTCCACTGCCGAGCAGGTCAAGTGTACTGTGCAAATCCCCGCGAGGCATGGAAACATGGAAACATAAAGCTTTGGCTCTCGTTTTGTTTTGCCGCAACTGAATTGAATAGGGCCCCCCTATTAACGTGTACCAACCGTTCACGTACAGCACCCGAAACCAAATGTGCAAGCCATCCGTTGTGCGTCCCTCTGAATCCGTGTGCAACAATGGGGAGTGTGTTTTTTGTTGTTTGTTAATTAAATAATAAGGCTGATCTCTCCTCTTGGCCATGAAGGCTGTAAGGGCATAAATAGTTTCATACAAATATTTATATCTATGCAAACGATGTTCGATACAGATAAACAGTTAGCCACTTTAATCTCCAACTGTAAGATCAGTGTAAATCTGTAAGTGATGATAAATCTACCACAATAGAACGGTTGGCACACATCGATTTTAACAACACTTAAATATGTGCATAGCATATACCAAAGCTCGCGGCCTTATGCAGAACCACCAGTTCAGAAGAACTGCATTGTTCATAACATTAAGAGAACATTTAGCACTGTTTTTGTCACTTACGGATTTGAACAATTGTTGCCATTGGGAAAGCTAAATGTGTCCCCATATTGTCAAGCTAAGCCCTCTTCGTGTATGAGACATCCCAGAGGCAGTACTGTACTCATAAGTCCTCATAAGAAGACAACCAGTCTGCAGTTTTGTATTTGTTTCACTGCCGCCTGTAGTTTGTCCACATTTGTTCACATTGTGTGGAGTTTGTGGTCAAAGGCAATCATGACCACAATGCAATTCTCCTGAACTGGTTTTGGATAAGGCTGTGAGATCTTTTGTACGCGTAATGCACACCTTTGTGTGTTGTTAAATCGATAGCAGCAGTTAAGCGAGGGAAGCCCTTCCAGCACATGATTGTGCAACACACCCTGCTCGTTATTTTCTAGTTCCTCTTCTTTCTTTTTACCGTACATGGGTCTATAAAAGTACTTGTGATGCAAGGGTGTGCCCGTTTGGGATTTTTTTTTGTTAGTTCCTGAGTGATTAAGTGCTACCAATCATGAAAGCATTCCTTGCATATGATTGCAATTTATATTCCAGCCACTGCCTCTATAATAGCTGGCAATTCCATTAAAGTAAAAACAAATTTGGGGGAGCAGTTTTAATTGCTGCAAAGAAACCACAAAATTGTTTCAGCTTAGTTTCCCGGGCTCCCACATTGCGACAACAAACGTAGCACATCTGTTAAATCAACATCATCAGCCGTGATAAATCCGCTGCTGGATGAAGGCCTCAAGGGTATGCATTGACTAAAGCCTTTTGCAAAAACTTATTTTACCAGGTAAGGCCCACTGATCTATGTAGCTTTTTTTCAGAAGCGACCTGGCTATCACAAATGATTGCTCAACGAAGTGGCTTACCGCGTGGAAATTTGTAGCAGCCAAATACTCGAAACGAATGTTTCTAAATGTGGAGGGAAAAACCTGAAAACCCGGAGAAAAATCCACCTGACCACATACAAACACCAAATGTAGAGATATCGTTAGAGTCAGGATCGAACCCACGACCTCTTGCATACCAGGCGAGGCAGATAACATCTCGCCACTGGGCAATAACAGCTCAAGAGGAGTAAGTAAATCCAAATAAAGATTGTCAATGCGAATATACCACAAATGTTTTTATTTCAATATAAACAAAAACTAAACACTGCAGTCTAGCCGTACACATCACCGGGTGGCCCCTCGTGTATCACTTCTTCACCGCACGCTGGCTGCATCGTGCAAACTCAAGCTGTACAGCCAAATTGATATTACGCATGACATTAAAAGCCATGCGGAATTCATCTTATTAATGCGTAAAGCATCCAGTACGCGGTTTACTTCCAACACTTGCTACAGGGTGACTGAAGAATAATGCTCCTGGAGTACAAAGATGTTGGTTTTATTTTTAGGGTTAGATTTTCATGGTTTCGTGAGCTCCCAATGAGCCTTAAATGTTGCAGAAGATTTGTAACATGGCGTGGGTGTGGTGGTACAGTGGTTTGCCCTGTGCTCTGAACCCAGTTACCCGAGTTTGATTCCCGGCCATGGCTAACATCAGTGGCAAGTGATATCAGGACCAGTCCTGCCCTAACTGCCCCCCGACTCGCACTGACCAGCACGGTAAAGTATGGTTAAAAAAAACCCTTGAATTACGTCAGGAGACATGAATCCATTTGTTAAATGAGTCGTTGGAATGTATCTTTTTGTTGTTAAGTACAAGCACAGTTGATAAAAACTCAACATATTCGTCAATGACTGTGGCCTAGAAAGGAACAATACATAATAGGTGACCTTTTTGGGCAATAACCCTTCTTCAGAGCACATCATTAGAGAGGTCAGAGAAATATCAACTTGCATCAAACTCTCTCTCAGGCCTCTTATGTCCAATAAAAAAGGCCCATTGGCCAAAACGTCACCTATTATATGTTTTTCCTTTTTAAGGCCACACCAGTGGTATTGAATAATGCATTGAGA